AGATTAAGCAATTAAAGTTTCCTGAAAAAGAATAATTTATTTTTCTAACTGTTGATACTATTTGCAACTTACTTTCTTTAATCCATTCTGCAGATTTCCCTCAACTAAAACATCAAATGGAGGCTTTCTAATCTTTATTTCTAGGGACAGAAATAGAACTTGAGATAGTGATAGAAACAGAGCTTTCATAATGCAAATTGTTGTTATGTCCTTCATTCCAACATATAGACATTACCAAAAAATGTAAGAATATGCTTAATTAAAATGAAAGCTAGCACAATGAAAATGGTAGTCCCTAATTACTGAGATTCAGCATACAGAATGTTAACTAACAATTTACAGAATGTATGTCTGGAGGAAAGACACAGGAAAAAAAGGTAGAAACAACAAAAATGTCATGTACTAGGAGACTGTGTTGTACTCTTTTTGACAGTGAGAGTTTAAAATGAATTTTCTGGGTATTAATTCAGTGTCAACTGGAATACTCATGGGGATGATCTCATGTGACATGGCCCTCAGGAACTGCAAAATGTGGTGCCCCAAAAGTGGAGCACATGTTCCTCACTCCTGATTAATAATAAACATGCTATAGAAAAATTAAAAAGACTCCCTCAAATGAATTTATAAAGATATTAGTATTTAAAACAATTTTTTAAAAATCTCATCCCAAACCAACCCCTCCAATATCATTTCATTTTAAAGTTTATGAAAATAATTACTACTTCAAAATCTTAAAACATTTTGTAACGTCGCTGTTTGCTTTTGTTAATAAATGCTCGAACATATTTGTGTCACATTATATATAAAAAAATTAAGACATCTCTAAAATACTAACCTATAATAATGTATATAATTAAAATCCTAGGTATAGCACATACACTTTGTAATTCTTTACTCTCATCAAATACCTTTAAATCAAAAATAATTTTTAAATATAATTTCTTGCTTTTCTTAACTCAGCTTATAGTTCAGTATCTGCTATCAAGCATCTAAGTATCCCACCACAGTATTAAAAAGTCTGAGATACTTACAGAATCATAATAGAAACCAGTGCTATGGTCAAAATACAGTCCAGTGCTTTCATCGTAACTGAATCCAGTCTGTGATACAGCAGCTTCTGCTGCAGCTCTCAAGCTTTCAGCTAATGATGAACCTTCTAAGGATGTATCTTCTGTTGCTAATACAGATGCTGGATCCTAGGTAAGATACAGTCACATCAAATAAGACAAAGCCATCCTTTTATTGATTTTTTAAAAATCAGCAGAATTTGAAACAATAGACTTACAGGCTATTTTAAATAATAAGACTTCAATTTCTATTGATTACAATTTGATCCACTTAAAAAAATTTACTACCATGTCATTAACTCAATTTTGACCTAGTTCAGAGGCACTGAAAGTAAGTAGGTGGACATTGCTCAAAAGTAAATGCAAATTACCATCAGGAAGCAATCCATAAAATACAAAAGCTGAAATAGACATGTAACCTAGATTTCTTCAAAAATTATAGGTTCAAAGGGAAAAGCTTTTGATGAGAGATGGAGGAAAAAACTAAATTATATGAGATAATTAATACATTAAGCAGGTACGGGCTCTACCTGGTGGTGCAATGGGTTAAAGCACATCACTGTGAACCTATCTGCCATCACTGCAGCACGAGTCAGATTCCTGGCCATGGAGGTGACCCACATGGCGTAATAGATCTCTCCTATCCTTTCAGCTGCTCCCCTCAGTAGTGCACTGCAGTCAATCCAACACTTCTGTTCCCCACTTTGTCTCTTATGAATACAATCACCCCACACACATCTGGCCTGTATCCCAGTTCTTGTATGCATGCATAAATCTTTTTTAAAAAATAATTAAGCAGTTACACTGTATGAATCTTACTGGGATCCTGATTCAAACAAATGTAGAAACAAATTTATAAAAGAGAAATTTCCTCTGTGAGAGGATACTTGACAAGACACATTAAAAAAAAATTTAGGTTTTAGGTCTCCCTGGTAGTGCAAGGGGTTAGTCTCAGCACTATCAAGATACTGCCAGCCACTGCAGCATGAGTTCAATCCCTGGCCAGAGAGCTAATCAAACTGCATAGCAGACCTCTCTGTTTCACCCGCTGCTCCCCTAAGTGATGTATTTCAGTAAATCTGCCTGTTCTGCTCTCCGCTCTGTCTCTGATGAATCTTCTCACCTTTTCTTGCCCCCGCCCCACCTCTGGCCTCCACCTCAGTTCTTGTATGCATAAATAAATTTTTTTTTTTAATTTAGGTTTCTAAAATATTTTGGTTCTGTTAAAATATAAGGAGAGGCCCTCCCTGGTGGCGCAGCGGGTTAAAGCACAGCACTGAGAAGCTAAAGCCACTTCTGCATGAGTTCAACTCCCGGAGGTGACCACATGGTGCGGCAGACCTCTCCTGACCCGCCCACTGCTCCCCTCAGCAGTGTACTTCGTAGATCTGCCTGTTCTGCTCCCCACTCTGTCTCTGGTGAAGCCTCTCGCCACCCCTGAGCCTCCAGCCTATACCCCAGTTCTGTATGAACAAATAAATAAATCTTTTAAAAAAATAAATAAATAAAAATAAAATATAAGGACAAATTTTCTTTTAGTTTATGTACATCATAAATTTTTGGAGCACAACAGAGCAGGAAAAAAATTATGGATATGAACAAGTTCTAACTTTTATTTCCTAAAAATTGTGATAATCACTGCATAATTATATATCAAATGTTTACAACCCTTGTATATGTTGTGATGGGCCAAAGAGGTCTACTTTCATATAACAAAGAACAAATCTTGGGCATAAAGAGTTTCATGTTTAACATTTTATACCTGTAAATTTGAGGAAAAAGAGTCCTCTTGTCCACATTTAACATTTTCTGTTATATCAGTACCAGTGTAACCATCATTTATTTCTGACTGGTCTTTAGAATTAAAAGTAGAAGCTTCAATATCCTGATCTTGCTGAACTGAGTTATTTGGAAGACTGACATCTTTATAGTATGTCTGATAATAATAATCTGTAGCAAAATAAATTACATGATATCATTAGAGTAGCAAATACAAGGACTTCATTATAAACACTGGCACTAAACACAAAACAATACACATTGCAAACAATCATAATTTTATAACTGTATACACTTTAAAAGATTAAAAAGAATGGTGCATAAGTATGCATCTTTGATTCATACTTTTAGCTGCAAGTTGAAAAAGAAAAAAGGAGGTAAGTAGATTTGGATGTTTAACAGCAAAAGTAAAAGGAAATACATGTAGATATGGAATATAAATACCATTGCTGTGTTTAGCAAAATCACTAAATTATGTACTATATGTACTTAATATAACAGGCAAAGTTTAATGGGAAAGACCTTTCTTATGATCCGCATTTATTAAAGCTCAAGTGTTTGGCTATTTTTGCTTCATAGTATAATGCCACTGATGAGGCTATGGTGGTGGACTCACCATTGCTTCAAGTGCCTAAGGGACTGTACTAAACCGATGCTAAGTGAAATGCATCAACAAGAAAACATATGGCCCAAGTCACAAGAAAAGTCAGATATTAGAGTCGGTGGTTCGTGGAATGTAAAATTTATTCAGTGAAAACTGCAGCATGTTATTATGAGGAGAATTTGTTTTTCTACCAGAAGAAAAAACAGACTATCAGAAAAATACCAAACCACATGGAAGAAAGTCAACTTTACAACATATTTATCTTGATGTCTACTTCAAATGTAAAGAAAACTCCATGTTAGCAGGATGTGAATGTAATCGCAATAAGCTATATTTATTATAAGCTGAATACCTGATATTGACCAAGGAGGGTGATTCTCTGTTTGTACTTCTACATCAAACTTTTTACTATCTTCATTTTTCCCGCAATGGAGTATTTTACTGAGTTCTTCTACCTGAAAGAAAACAAGATTTTAGTAAATAAATCATACAGCAATCTATTATATAAAGCCATTCTCCAAGATTTAGAGTATTTTCTCATGCTAAAAGTTTTAGAAAGGTATAATAACATTTAGTTTCCCCTTCAGAAAAACTGAAATTACCACAATCAACTTTCTTTCACCTTTACATTTACAGAGACTTTTTTATTCTTAGACTTTCTTGCTAATCCTCGCTATAACCCCTCCAAAAACTAGACTGACTAAATTAACAGGACTGTGTGAAAAGAAGCCTTTTTCTCTTTTTGAGTTTTTTTAAAAAGAGATTTATTTATTTATGCATACAGAACTGGCACAGGCCAGAGGTGCAGGGGCGGTGAGAGGCTTCAACAGAGACAGAGTGGGGAGCAGAACAGGCAGAGCGATGAAGTACACTGCTGAGGGGAGCAGCGGATGGGTCAGGAGAGGTCTGCCTCATCAGGGTGGGTACTGAACTCATGCTGAAGCAGCTGTGGCTAGCTAACAGAGCTGTGCTTTAACCCACCAAAGAGGTCCAGAAGCCTTTATTTCTAATAACTAAAAATGTTTAATACTAACATTTTAATCCTCCAGTAGTTCTTAAGAATGAATTAAATTATCTGGTACAATTGTGTCCATCTGGCATTAAGTATTCACTAAATAGGCCCTCCCTGGTG